GAGAGGGGGGCGAAATTAAGGGAGAAGGTCTTCTCTTTTCTTTGGTTGTATGTTGCATGAGAATCTTTTTTGGTCCAGCACATGATGTTCCTGATGAAATTACTCAGAGCGATAGTTGCCATATCTGTGGAACTTCATGTTCTGCAGCCTGCATTGGCCGCTCTCTTATTATTTTTCCCCCTCACTATTACGAAAGCTAATTTTTTCAGCTACACTGACTCACACGGAACAGTCAGTAGCATACTGTTGGTTGTGTTCATATTATTTTTCTCTTTATGTTTACCAAAGCTCATTACTCCGGTGGATTGATATAGGAGGAACAGCAAATTACCCTTTTTGTGTCTGTAATAGATGTACATCGAACTCACTCCCATCCTCACAAGCCACGCCATCTGAGCAAGCAGTTGAAGCTGAGAGAGATGAGGAGGAGGTGGGATGATGAGATGAGTTAAAACAGCGATTCCCAAAGTTTGCTGTCTCTGACTGCAGTACTTCAGCTGACCATATTCATATATCTGTGTACCACTTAATCACACGTTTTGAATAACTGAGCAAATATAACAAATATTTATAGGCCCAAGTGTTAAAATTGAACCTGCAAACTTTTCTTTTCTACTTTCTCTCATTGTCAGAGATTGCACAAGGTCCTGGAAGACACAAGGCCTCAGGTGTGGGAGGTCCAAGACCGACCCAGGATCCTACAGAAAAAGGGTTGTTACCCTGAGCGACCTGGCCAGACTGTCCCAAAATCACAACTGTTGTTACGCTGGATGGAGCTTCATAATCAAATACAGCAGAAGATACAGTCTACACAGAAGATCAGAAAGAATTATGACAGGTGTGAGAAATCAGTAACCAAATAATAATTTTTAATGCCTTTTTGTTGGAGGTGAGGTATGAACAAATAAATAGGTAACAAATAAAGGTGTGTGCTTTTGTGCGTTTGAATGTGTAGGTTCCAGCATGACTCAACAGAACTAGAAGAATGGATGCGTCATGCTCAAGAACAGGTTCAGAAGTGGAACAGTTTCTCTGATTCTGGTCTCTTGGACTCCAGAACAGTCTTTACCCAGCTCATGGTGAGTATAATTAGATTTTTTTTTTTTTTACACAAATGTAACGTATACCTAAAATGCCAAAATAGGAATGTGGTTTTGTTTGTGTGTTGCAGGAGTTCTTTAAGGAGCTGGAGGGCCGTTCAGCACAGAAAGCTTCTGCAGAACTTTCAGGCGCACAGATACTGCAGCTGACTGACAGTGAAGCTCCAGGTCTGCGCAGACGACTGGCTCAACTTGAGCAGGAATGGACAAACTTGACTAACGTCCTGCCCACTCTCCACCAGACACAGCAACAAGTACGACTAATGTCTCTCTCTAAGTTTCTTTCTGTTTTTCTCTCTCCCTCTATCTTCTCCCTCATCCATCTGAAGAAAAGCTCTGGCAAACAGATATTGTTTAAGTAAGCATCCTCTTGCCCTCCTTCTAGCTGTTGACAAACCAGTCTCACAGTCAGATCTTGGCCAGTTTGACCTCCTGGCTCGAAAATGTAGAGGGACGACTGGAAGATGAAAGCTCGGGGGTCCATTGTGCCCCCGGTTCCTCTGAGCTGTCTAGACATCTACAGGCTTTGAAGGTAGTACACCTACTGTACACTTTTAATTCTTTTGATTTTCTGGTTTCTAATTATTTCAGGGTATAAATGGAAAACCTTGTTTGGTTCGCCGTTTTGTTCTCCTGTTCACCAAGGCTGCATTTATTTAATCAAAAATACAGTAAAAATCATAATATTGTGGAATATTTTTACTATTAATTACTACTATATTATACTATATTATATAATACTATATTACTATTATTAATTAAAAATAACTATTTTCAATTTAAATATATTTAAAATGCACTTTATTCCTGTGAAGGCAAAGCTGAATTTTCAGCATCATTACTCCAGACTTCAGTGTCACATGATCCTAATATGTGACCCTGGACCACAAAACCAGTCTTAAGTCGCACAGGTATACAGTATTTATAGCAATAGCCAAAAATACATTGTATGGGTCACAATGATAAATTTTTCTTTTATGCCAAAAATCATTAGGATATTAAGTAAAGATCATGTTCCATGAATATATTTGGTAAATTATCTACCGTTAATATATCAAAACTTATTTTTTGATTAGTTATATGCATGGCTAAGAATAGGGCTGAACGATTTTGGAAAATAATCTAATTGCGATTTTTTTTACCAATATTGCGATTGCGATTTAATATGCAATTATTTTTTTTAAAGCTCTTTATGTTCTGTATTATTCGACTTCATCTATGGCTTTTCTCTTCGCTTTCACAAGCCGATCCATCTCCCATTCTAAGTTACGTCCTTTGGCTGTTTACTTATTTCTTTTCTTTTCTGCTGATGGCCCGCGCTCGACTTGAAGCAGCGCTGCTTAGACCGATGGGTGTGTGTCATCAAAGTACTGAGAGAGCTATAAGAGAGCGCGGACGTCTCCTTATGCTTTCTCTCGCTCGCCGTACTTTGATATCATACACCGATCTGATCTTCAAGTCGAACACAACTCTTTACTCTCGCCTGTCACGTGACCGTGTAATCGCAGCCTCTGCGATTGAAAAATCGAAATTTTTCATATCGCGATATTATCGCAAATGCAATTAATCGTTCAGCCCTAGCTAAGAACTTCATTTGGACAATTTTAAAGGTGATTTTCTCAATATTTTGATTTTGTTGCACCCTCAGATTCCAGATTTTCAAATAGTTGTATCTCGGCCAAATATTGTCCTATCCTAACAAACCATACATCAATGGAAAGCTTATTTGTTCAGCTTTGAGATGAATTTTACCCTTTTGACAGGTTTTGTGGTCCAGGGTCACAAATGCTGATTTTGGTGCTCAAGAAACATTTCTTATTGTTATCAGTGTTGAAAATGGTTGTGCTGCCTAATATTTTTGTGTAAACTTTGATACATTTTTATGGATTCTTTGATCAATAGGAAGTTCAAAAGAACAGCATTTATTTACAATAGAAATCTTTTGTAACATTAGAAATGTCTTTACTGTCGCTTTTGACCAATTGAATGTGTATGCTGAATGAAAGTATTAATTTCTTTTAAAAAAATCCTAGAAAACATGAACATGTCATTCCACACTTGTATTTTTATATATTAGGATCTTAAGGCTGAAATAACCAGTCATCAGCTGTACGTTGACTTTCTGAACCATCAGTCTGTGGAGGGGGTGGGATCAGTGAATGAACCCACCAATCGCAATGAGCGCATCCTGTTTGCAGAGCAACTGGGAGCTCTCAATCCGAGTTGGCTTATTCTACAGGCCAAAATTGACAGCAAGGTGAGTGCAGAAGTATAACCTGCCAAAGCCATCGTATTTGAAATGTGACGAGTTCTTCTGTCTCTAGATACATGATGTTGAGAACCAATGGCAGGCCTGCACGAACAGAGAAAAGCGTTTGCGCTGTATGCACAGCTGGATCTCTCAATGTATTGAATGGGTGAAAAACAGCTGGCGACCAGAGAGCTGCTCGCATATTGAGCAAACATTACAGAAGTGTGAGGTGAGTCTCATGTCTCACAGCTAGCTTGAAGATTTTATGTTGCCGTTGTTATTGGGTGTGGGTGTGAGAGTGAGTCAAAGGAGTGCTTTTGAAAAGGTTACCAGAAGTATATACTGATACCTGAAAACTTGGACATTGCTTCATTGCAGGAGACAGAGGACAGGCTGCAGGTGAAGTCCTCTGAGCTGAAGGCTTTGGGAGCTCTTCACCTGTTTGGGCAGCAGGATGGTGAACATCCCGGAGATCAAGCGTTCTCCAAGCAGGTGAATTCAGCCATCCAGGACTGCCAAGCTTTGAGTCAACAGGTAAGTTCTTAAACCCTGTGCCAGAATGCATCAGTAAATTTGTGCACATTGGCCACATATACTACTTTTCAAAAGCTCAGTAAGATTTTCTTTTAAAGAAAATAATACTTTCATTCAGCAAGGATGAATAAATTGATCAATGTGTAATAATTTCCACAACAATATTAAGCGGCAGATTTGTTTCAACATTGATAATAAATGAATCTTGAGCATCAAATCAGCATATTAGAATGATTTCTAAAGGATCATGTGACACTAAAGACTGGACTTCCATCACAGGAATAAATTACATGTTAAAATATATTTAAAAAGTTATTTTCATTTGTAATAATATTTCAGAACATTACTGTTTTCACTATATTTTTGATCAGCCTTAGTGAGCATAAAAGACTTCTTTCAAAATATTTACAAAACTTAGCAACCCTAAACATTTTAATGGTAGTGAACATACTGCAGCTTTAAAAAGCACTATAAAAACACCATGCTTGTGTAAGTGATCATAAAATGTATTTGTTTTTTCTATTAAATATGCCCATTTTGGATGCCCATTGGATGGATGCCCATTTTCCACAAGTTGATGTGATTCGTTAGGGTCTTAATGAAAAGTCTATAACATACGTTGGTTAAAATTTCTCAATGGTAGTGTAAAAAACACCCTTTTTACCTTGTTAAAATCAGCTCTGTTTTCAGCAAGCCATTTTAGTCCATGTTCCTTTAAATGCTAATGAGCTCTGCTCACCCCGCCCCTCTCTTCCGTGGGGTGACGAGCTGTTCTCATGATTCTGTTTACTTTACTTGGAACTTGCTGACTAGCATGTTATTAGGAAAGGCAATTTGCAAAGATTAATAAAAGAACCTTATATTCACGTCTTCTGTAGGTGAAGCTGGATCACGCGAACACGCAATGATTAGCGCGAACATAGACGCATTTAGGCAGATCGGGGGGCACATTCCCTTCAAAAACAAACGTAATCCACTGCGTCTTCAGCGGCTCAGATGTCAGGAGTAAATGACGACTGCTATGTTCATTATTACATCCAACAACAAAACACCTCAATCGCTTAGGAGCCATTCTTGTCTACATCTGCTCCGGCAGTGAAGCAATGGCGGAGTGTTGACAGCTCACTCGGGGCGGGTCTAAGGTAAAACTAGGGCTGGACGATATGGCCAATCGAAATATCGGAAATGTGTTTAAAAATCATATCACCGTTATTGAAAAAAATTATATCGCGATACATATTGATATTGAATTATTGTCCAGCCCTAGGTAAAATTCTAGTGTCAATCAACAATCGTGGGAGGGGCCTGGGTCTGTGTGACGTCACACAGACAGGCATCTGAGAATGGCTTGATATGAGAAAGGGGAAATGATTTAACGTGATTAAAAAAAACACTGGGTGGCTCTTTATCATTATAGGGTGGTTGTGTACACACACTTTCAGTTCAAACAACTTGTAAAAGTGCATGTCACATCCGATGACCCCTTTAATATTGATTTATATTAATAATTAATAATATTGCATCAAAACATATCAGAATTTTATTTTATTATTATATATTACAATATTTTATCAATAACGCCAATCAATTGATGTTACATCTCTTAGATTTTGGGTATTTTGGTTCGGTGGATGCGGAGATATAACATTAGAAAGAATTCAATTGATTTGTGTGTAACTGTTGTTTTACAACATCTTCAAATGTGTCAGATGTTTCAGTCAGAGTTCATTCATCATTTTTGATTAAGTGAAGAAATGTTATTCCTAGCAGTGTGTGCTTTTTTTCTTAGATAAATGCTCTCAAGTCAGATTTACAGCCAATCAAAGATGAATGGGCTCACTTTGAATCTAAAATGAGTGCAGCAGAACTGCAAACAACCGGGGTGGTCTACAAGCTGGAGCTCTGCAGAGTTCCTGCGTTCTCATCTGAGCAGAGCCGAACTCATGTGGAGCACCTGCAAGTGAGTAAACGACTCTAAATGAAATCATTCCACTGGAAAAAAGATTGGAAATGTTGTACTTTTTCTAAATTGTAAGGTCGTTAAGGGTCAGTGTATCTTTTGGTCATTTTATTTATTTTTTATTTAATATTGAAAGTAGAAAATGAGAAAACGGCTCCTCTTTCTTTCAATATTAAATAAAAAATCAAATGACCAAAAGATACACTGACCGTTAACGTTATAAACTTCAATGTTTAAACACCAATTTTATTCTCCCAACATGACAATTCACATAATATAAATATTCAACATTGCCATTACTGTTAGCAATGTGATTTATTGGGTATTATATTATTATGCTTCTTAACAGGAGCTTGAAAGGGAGCTGAACCAATCAGAGACCTGGACCCAGTTAACTGAGGTGTTCTCTAACTTGAAAGACAAACTCAACCCTTATGCGTCTAAACTTTTGTCTGATCGTCTCGAGAAGGAGACAACTCGGTAAGTAATTTTACTTTACATACTTTAAAATGGTAGCATCTTTATAAATTAGCTAATGAATCTGTTTATTTGATAGTTTAGTTGAGTGAATCATTTATTAAAGATGAATAATGCAAACAAACTGATTCACTAAAATGAATCAGACTTTGCGATGCAAAGAGAGAACAGAACATGCTTGATTTTTAAGTTTTGTTTGTCTGGACCTATGTGGGTATTAATGTTGTTTTCTTTTCAGACATCAAGCGGTGACTGAAGATGTGCATGCAGATTTACTAAAAGCCCAGAATGCATTGCGGCTTTGGCTGGAATACGAGCGCCTCACAGGAGAGTGCTGTGTTCATCTAAATCAGCACTGGGAGAGGCTTGGAGAGCTTATGAGTTCTTCAGACAGAGAAGAAAACACTGTAGAGCTGCTCAACAGCAGGATGCAGGGCATCAGTGTGAGTAATTAATAGTATCTAGGCCCCTTTAACATCTGGCATTAGGATGTGTTTCCTATCCAGATAGCATCTGGATATTCTATAGCTGGAGAGAATTTACTTATTCATTCCATCCACATCTCCAGTGTTATCAGACAGAGGTTTGATCACACTTATCCAAGAAATGGAACATGCCAATTGCATATTACTTGAAATATTGTTAATTAAATGAGATAGTAATTTTAGATTTTAAATCTAATGTGATTATTGGCATCAATTACCTAAAAATGCATGCTAATGCCAGGTGAGAGCTCAGTGCAAATGAGAAATCCATCGAAATAAAATAGATCAGAAGTACAGAACACAATCAAGTACATAAGTAAAAAGGTTAGTGGTCAACAAAAGGGATTACAACAACAACCCTTAAAGCATACTAAACCCATACAATTCACAGCAATAATGATGCACAGAAATATTTTTATGTTAAACTGCTTGTTTGTAAATATAAGGTGCTGGTTTTGTATTATTTTTTTGTAATTTGTAATAAAATGCAAAGTAACAATGCACAGTGAAAAAACAGACCTAAATAATAGCCAATTTCAGCATGTACTTGTTAAGTGCTAAAGTGTTCTAGTCCTACAGATGGGTCTGCAGTACTTCAGTCCAGTTGTGCTTTTGAAAAGAAGGAACATTGAGATCTGAGCTGGAGCTTTTCTCTGTGGGCTAAAAATACCAAATGAGACCTGTGATACTCTTACCAAAAAATGTTCAACACAAAAGAACATAGAATCATAAATCAGATCTTATTCAATTTGTTTAAATTGGCATTTTTCCCCTTAAAATGCATACACATGGTTTCTTAAACGAACAAAAAAAGAAAAGAAAAGATGAGCTTATAATTGCTGTTTAAACTTAAACACAAACAAATAATATGTCTAACAGATGTTAATAATCAATAAATATTTCATAACTAATTTTTTGATTGTCTGAATAATGTGTGTCTATAAAATTATATTTTTGAATAATTTTATGTGTCTATAAAATGAAAATAAATAAAATGATGAAAAAAGCAAAAAGTAATTCATTTTTATTGAATTACTGTTTTTATTATTTAATGTTTTTTAGTAGCTGCCGTATTTATTTAATAAATGTTTTTCTTACCCTCTACTGATTCCGTCTTAACTTTCAAAAATAGATATCAGTGGCTCACTTACAAATTGAAGGTTGCATGTATTTCATCAGAAATAAAGAAAGAACTGTAACATTGTTAAATATTTTTTCATTTAATAACAATAATAATAATTTCTATTTAAAAAAATATTTTAAAATGTAATTTGTTCCTGTGATGGCAAAGCTGAATTTTTAAGCATCATTACTCAAGTCTAAAGTGTCACATGATCCTTCAGAAATCATTCTAATATGCTGATTTGCTGCTCAAGAAACAATTCTTAGTATTATCAGTATTTCAAATAATTGTACTGCTGAATATTTTTCCAGATTCTTTAATGAATAGAACATTCAAAAGAACAGCATGTAATTGAAATGGAAATCTTTTGTAACATTATAAGTGTCTTTACCATCACTTTATATCAATTTAATGCATCCTTGCTGAGAAAAAAAATATTACAAGTCATTAAAAACAAAATTTTATGACATGATAAATTATGTAATTTCCTTTGTGGTTCTTCTAACCCAGGGGTAGGCAAGTTCGGTCCTAGAGAGCCACAAGTCCTGCAGAGTTCAGCTCCAACCCTAATCAAACACACCTGAACAAGCTAATCAATGTCTTCGGGATTACTAAGGCTATAGGCAGGTGAGTTTTTTTTTTCAGGGTTGGAGCTGAACTCTGCAGGACTGCGGCTCTCTAGGACCGAACTTGCCTACCCCTGTTCTAACCCAATGTCTAAAAAACAATGTCTTTCACAGGCTCTAGAGAAAGACATGCCTGCCTTGCAAAGCAGTGTGGGAAAAGTCCTGGAGGCCTCAAAGCTTCTCACTGGACATGTGAAACCCCAGTCAGCCCCTCTAATCAAATCAGAAACCAGGTTGCTGTCACGTGACCATGTGCATCTTGGCAAGGCACTTTCTGACATTGAGGCACAAGTTCAGGTAAGAGCGACAAGTTGATATCTTTAAAAGACTAAATACAACATTAAAGTCATTTGATTGATCTGCCGACCGATGACAACATTTATACAACGTCACACACAAGTGTTGTGCTGTTCTTGATCCATAGGAGGAGCTGGAGGAGCACCGCCGTTTCAGCACTGAGTTGAAATCAATGGAGCAAAAACTTAAACACTTTGAGAGTGTTATGAGCTCCTCCGCTGCAAGCATGGAAAGACTAAAGGTGAATCTGTGGCACTTCTTTCATTGATTGTTTTCATTGATTTTCTTTTTATCCTCTTCTTTGTGTTTTAGAGCAAACTAAAAGGTTACAGTTTGATTTTATGTAAATCTTTCTCTCTTTTTCCGTCTCTAAGATGGTTCTGTTAGATCTGAGTGGGCTGAACCCTAACCTTGCTGCTCTGAATCAGATGAGTTTCGGACTCTCCTTAAGCTCTGCAGAGGAGGAGAGGTTACAGACCCTCAACACACAATGGGTTCAGGTCTTCTCTCAGGCCACAGACCGACACCGGCAAGTCAAACTTCACTAAATTAAAGCTGTTCGATTCTCTTAAACATTTTGATTTAGCCCGAAATAGACTTGATTCCATATATCTTAGTAAAACGGATAGTTTACCTAAACATGAGAATTTTGTAATTTACTCACCCTCAGGTTGTTTCAAACCCTTTTAAAACTCTCCTGTTGTGTTCCATCGGGGAAATACTGGTTTGGAACAACATGAGGGTGAATTTTCATTTTTGGATGAACTATTACTTGAACACTTTTTTCCAAATTTTTACACCCTAGAATTAGCTGTAACTAAACTGTGTCTGGTGAATGCCAATGCACATCTCTGTCTGTAGGAAGATGTATGGAGAGCTGCTGCATGCTCAGAACTTCCAGCAGAAGTGCCAGTGCTGGATGGAGCTCCTGGACAAAATCGAGGCTGGGTCATCCAATCAGACGTCTGGAAACTGTGCTGCTGTAAGAGAGCAGCTAACTGCACATCAGGTAGAGCATACAGTTATGAAATCCAATAGAAAATTATTTTCTAATATTTAGTTTCATCATGTGAATCCTGATGCTTCATAATGACCATGTGCACTTGCATTCCATATTCCATAAGATCCTGTTCTGATAAATCTTTATTCTAAAACAATACTATTGGAATATTTGTGGCATTTGTAATCAAAATCTTTTTTTTTCTCCTCCGTTTGCTTGACACATTTCCAATGTTTATATCATATAGCACATAGAATAACTTGTATTTAGACATGCATAGATATAAATAAATATTACATTATGGATATGAAAAAGACAAAGAATTGCTAGTTAATGCTAGCTATGATTTATAGAAACCAGAATTTTGACTTAATCATTTCATGGCATTAATACTATTAATACTACATAAGTTACTTATACTATTAAGGTTTGGGGTTGATAAAGAGTGTTTTTTGTTTTTTTTACATTTTAAGTGTTTTATGATCACCAAGGCTGATTTATTTAAGCAAAAATACAGTAAAATCAGTAATACTCTGAAATAATATTACAATTTAAAGTTAACTGTTTTCTATTAAAAATTGAAAATGAATTTTCAGCAGCCAGTGCTCCATTCTTCATTGTCACATAAACATTTATGATTATTATCAATGTTGAAAACAGTTGTACTGCTTAATATTTTTGTGATAATTGTGTTTCAGGATTCTTGATTAATAGAAATATATAGAAATAACATTATTTGAAATATAAATCCTTTGTAACGTTATATATGTTCCCTAACTCTTTTTAATAAAATAAGAGCAACAGGAACTTTTGGTTATAGAGTATTGTGTAATTTGTTTTTGAAATGGTTGAACGGAGCTCATCTATTCATATATTAGTAATAAATCTTCCAGAGGCTGAAAGTGGAGGTCCTCATCAGCCAGCAGCTACAGGATGCCATGGTCAGTGAGGCTTCACGCTTCTTGGAGAGCAGTCAGAATGAGGACAGGTGAGCATTTATAACACTACACTCAATAACTTTTTCCCTATTACTCGGTAACCTCAGAATTTTCTTACTAACCTCCAGTGTGGGGCTCTGCCATGGATAAGAAATCAAAGAATGTGGTGTAATAATTTGTTCAGAACAGGATGTCTCCCGATGAGTAATTAAAAACGAGGTTTTCCAACTGTTTTGTTTTTTCACGGGCTCCAGATGAGGCCATAACTCTTGGAGTTATGTGGTGTGGAAGAGCTCTTTTGAGCTCAGCACTGGAACAAGCTGGCTCACTCTCAGGAAATGAAACCGCATGTGCTACCAGCATGAAATCATTTTTTCTTTTCAGCTGATAAGTGCTGCTTCAGGTGGAACTCCTGCATGGTTTCATTCAAGATGTTTCTTGGGCCTGGTATTTTTTTTTTTTTTTTTTCAATGGCAGGAACGAATATCTTGTAGAGAGCCACATAAAATGTGGGCGGTTTTATTTTTCAGATGTCTGGCAAAGCTAATGGCCAGTGAAATTGCATCTCTATTATGTGTTGCTCATCAGTTGTGACATGGTCTCTTTTTAAAAAAAAAAGAAAATCTGTTAAACCACAATTTAAAAGGATAGTTTACCCAAAAATTACAAATCTGTCATTCTTTACTCACCTTAATGTCGTTCCAAACCCGTAAGACTTTTGTTCAGTTTTGAAACACAAAAGTATTTGTATTGAAATCTGAGAGATTATGGACATTGAAAGTCCATTCACACAAAACTTTCATGATTCAAAATGTTCATAAAGGGACTGTAAAAGAAATCCATATGAATCAAACAATGTAATCCAAGTCTTTTGAAGAGACATGATCGCTTTATATGATGATCGATACATATGGATTCATTTTACAATATTTTTATGAACATTTTGAAGTGCCAAAGTTTTAAGTTAATAAACTTTCAATGGAGGGACAGAAATCGTTCAGGTTTCATTAAAAATAAAATGAATGGGTTTGGGCCGAAAATCGAATGGGTTTGGAATGACATAAGAGTAAGTAATTGGTGACAGAATAATCATTTTTGAGTGAACTAAACACTTTTAACCTGAGTAAATGTTCTTTGATAACTTTTGACTGAATTTACCTTTAACAAACCATGAAAATGTTGACTAACAAATTCCATTGTGAGCAGGAGTCATCTGATCCTGAGACTCACCCAGCTAAAGGCACGATGGCAGGGGACACAGCAGAGGGTCCAGCAGCATGGCAAAAGTCTGGAAGGGCTGATGGGACAGTGGCAACTCTATGAGACCAGCTCGAGGAAACTTTCAAAGCTACTCAGACACATCGAAGAACTTCTGCCACCAGCAGGACTAGCGCCGTGCAGCTTACAGCAACTCCAATGCTCTATAAAAGACTTTGAGGTAAGATTATTCAGTCAAGAGAATATAATGGTCTTTTCAACTCTTTCAGATGCTGATGTTGGACTTCAAAGTCTAATCCAACACCGTCATTAATATCTTTCATGTTTTCTATCACACAGTGGACAGAGGAGCAACTACAGCTTCATGAAGAACTGTACAGGCAGACTGTGGCGGCAGGCGGACAGATCCTTCCGCTATCAGATGTGCAGACGCAGACACGCCTGCAGACTGAACTGGATGCTCTCAAGGAGATGTGGGAGCGAAGCTGTGGCCTTGTGGGGAAAAGAAAGGCTCTTGCAGACACCATAACTCATGTATGTGACCCAGTTCTCACATTTCTGGTTGCTATGTGAAAGTTTCCATTGACAAATAATGCTGTAAATGATTCACATTTACACTATGTAGGGAATAAATTGGTACAGTTTTCAATATATTTAGAATCTGCCAATATTTGGTGTTTTATTCTGTTTGTTTTTTATATACATATATATTTTTTATAAGCATAAGGTTTTGGATCAGTCCGATTAGTGCTGACACCCTTGTCTGTTTAATTCTTTATTTGCATGGACCGAGCAGAATCAATGGTTAATATGGGGGTCTTTCTTAGTCGCCATTGACCTACATAACCTACTGAGCGTTTCACTAATAAAGTGCTTCGTTTTGAGGATGAGAGATCAGCCGTAATCTTGCCATAATCCATAAATGAGGCAGCTGGGCCATATCACACAGAACGAGGGCTTTCAAAACCGAGACTACTAAGCCACTGTGCAGTTCAGAGTCTATATGGGTCATCTGTCATTGTTCACACACAATGCCCTAAGGCCTAAAGTATAGGTAGATGTGGGAACAAAGCTTGGAAAGTGCTGTTACCTATGTGCCTGGTAACTGTTTTATATTCCATTCTACTTCATTTTCAAAACCTTGATAATGTAAGATCACACAGGCTTCAGAGCAACATACATTGATTGCAGTCATAGTCGTACCAACAACAGCATAAATTGTCATGTGGACTTTTGATGACAAGATGTGAATTTATAATCTTATGTTTTTAGCTCCATGGAGCACTTGGACCATATTTGAAGGAATAAATTTGACATTAGGTAGATGTGGGAACAAAGCTTGGAAAGTGCTGTTACCTATGTGCCTGGTAACTGTTTTATATTCCATTCTACTTCATTTTCAAAACCTTGATAATGTAAGATCACACAGGCTTCAGAGCAACATACATTGATTGCAGTCATAGTCGTACCAACAACAGCATAAATTGTCATGTGGATTTTTGATGACAAGATGTGAATTTATAATCTTATGTTTTTAGCTCCATGGAGCACTTGGACCATATTTGAAGGAATAAATTTGACCAATGCAATTGTAAATTAGTTTACAGTGTTCACCGGCAAGTAGTGGGGCTCTGTGTCACCCTAAACTAGAGGCTGATCCCCTGTACTTTTAGATATTATATAATACCAGAGTCACGCCCACTCATAACCAGCTCTGATTGGCTCTTCTGTTAGGAATGATGACGACATTGTTTTGAAGGGGGCTTATAAGGTTGGAAGTGTGTTTTGTGTGCATTTGCTCACAATAATAGGCGGGGGATGATGTATCCCCATGTGAAAGGGAAATCCCTCTTCACTGATCTGAGATGACACAGTGACAGCACCCAAAATACAAGCACATCAGTGGCTCTCATAATCAGAACGTATGCAGTTAAAGGAATGTTCCAGGATCAAGGTCAAAATTGACATTATGCCACACATATTGTTGGTAGAGCTCAAGACTGTATTCAACCTGGAAATTCCTGTCTAAAATAGTATGATCTGGTATTGTTTTTCACAGTGTAGAAAAGATTGTAGAGGCAAACATCTTCCACCGTAATAAAGAGATGCTGCTGTTTCTTTGCAGAACTGGATGCTCTGTGAAACTGGCCTGGCTGAGAGTGCTCTCAAACTGGAAGAGATAAAAGCAAGACTGAAAAGTCCACTGCCAGAGAAGCTAGAAGATCTAAAAATACACATGCAGCTCATCAAGGTAATATATTTTTCTGAAAGTGATGACAGTAAACAGCCAAACAATCAGTTATAATCCCAGATTCAGGTAATTTTGCTGTATTGATAATGTAATTGATATGTAATGTCATATATATATATATATGTATGTATGTATGTATGTATATATATATATACAGTGGGTACGGAAAGTATTCAGACCCCCTTAAATTTTTCACTCTTTGTTATATTGCAGCCATTTGCTA